TGAGTCATTTATTTTAACAGTTTGTAGAACTCGTCAAAAAAAGATATATACCAAAAATCACCTAAATAAAGGGAGTTATAGGTTTTTTAACAATAAAAACATTCATTATCGGTAAAATGTATTCCATTTTTACAAAAATTGTTCAAAATTGTCACCATTTGTCCGATTAATGCATAGTCTTGCTCGGCGTACCCACGACTCCTGACAGGCCTCAAAAATAAAATCCGGATGTTCGCGAATAACATCACAAGCATTTACAATGCGGTCTTGAAGTTCTTCCACAGTATTTACTTCTTCATCATGATACACCAACTGTTTTAAATAACCCCAAAGAAAAAATTACAAGACGTTAGGTCCGGGGAGCGTGGAGGCCAAGAAACAGGTCCATTTCTCCCTATCTATATATTCGGAATCTGTTCATTCAAATATTCACGAACTCCTCTTCTGAAATGCGGTGGAGCTCCGTCATGTAGAAACCAAATATCCTGCCTAACATTCAGTGGAACATCTTCTAATAGGTAATTCTGGCAAAAAGTGTCGAAGAAAATCTAAATAAATGTCACCGGTTAGCCGAGGTGGAAAAAAGTATGGTCCAATAAGCATGCTATTTATTACACCAGCTCAAACATTTAATAAAAATCTATGTTAGAAATTAGATCTTCTTACGGCATGCTAATCTTCTACTGCCCAAACATGATTGTTGTGAAAATTGAATATCCCATTTCGTGTAAATGTGGATTCGTCTGTAGCTAAAATTATTTTCGTAAAATCTTCATTTCTGTTCAACTGTTGTAAAAACCACTGGCAAAATTCAACTCTTCTAGGATGATCTTTAGGTTGTAATGCTTGTACCAGTTGATAATGATAAGGTAATATTGTTCCTGTCATATTGTTTTCCATACTTTACTATAGGAAACATCGACTTGAGTTGCTATGGCTCTGGTACTTCCACCAGGTCCAAAATATTATCCTCAATTTCTACCATTTCAGGTGGAGCAGGTCTTCCAGCGTGACCCCCTCGTTGTTTTTCAAGTATCCTGTCTCATGAAGTCGAATAACTAAATTTACAAACATCCGTCGAGCCGGATGATTTCTTAAAGGCGACATGCTGCGGCTGCATTTTGTTGGCACTCTCCGTATGTTAGTATTATGTCTGCTAGTTCATTGTTTCCATAAACGTGGGCCATTTTTCCGTCCAAAATATCAAAAAAATTAAAGTGATACAAACTAAACGCTTGATACCAATAACTAACCGAAAATCGTTCTCAAAACCGTAAAACAAAAAAAATAGCCATACCTAGATAAGTAAAATTGTCGTAGTAAACAAACAACGATAAGTTTTTATTTGGCAGTGGTCAGGAATATTAAAATATGCTGATAAATAGTTTGTATTTGTTTTAGTTTTAAAATTTTGAAATTCCTTTTTATTTCTTTTAATATGCAACTTTTATTTAGGTGATTTTTGGTATATCGACTTCTTTTGACGAGTTCTACAAGTTAGAATACATGACTCAACTTTAAACACCCTGTATACGCCTCTACGGAAAAAACTGTTGTATATTTTAAAAAAATCCCTCCACATACCGTAAAATAGACGCGAAAATTACTTTACTGCGCTAATTTTTATCCTTTGATCTGCTTAATAGATAATTTTCAATAAAAATCATCCATCCCAGGATTCAGTATTCTCTTGAAAGAAAGATAATGCCTCTTACTTAAAATGAGCTTGCAGAAAGAACTCCATAATTTAATTTTTATTTCTCAATTATAAGAGGATTTCTTTGATAGAACAGTAATACCTTACGACAATATTTTCATTTCAATTGTCTGTCTTATATTTTACCAAATTGGAAAGTTAAGCTTATTTTGGCGACTTATTTTGTATAAAATTTTTGATATTTTGGTTTAAAAATTTTATTTAGGTATAGGGATCAAGTTAACTTCAATTTTATTTCCGAAGAGTTTCAGTAAATGTTGAAGTAAAATCGATAGTTCACCAGAGAAGAACGAATCGGTCAACTTTGAATATACTCGTCTACGTTTATATTTATTTTGATTTCACTCAAATTTTTATTTACTTACCTACCTGTTGAGTAAAATTATTTGTGAATGTTATTTTGTGCACTAGGCATGTGAACTATATGGAATAATTCATGGAAACTTATAAACATTTTACTAATAGCTTGCTTTTGGGATGGAAACGGTCGTTCACATTATTTTGTGACATATTGCAGAGATTTTATAGTTTTTCTTCTTAATTATATGTAAAAATGTAGTCATTAAAACTTTCTGAACGTTATTATGATCACTTTTAACTCAATACCCAATATTTATTACAAATTTTTACACTAGTAACATCATAAAATCGTGATAATCGAAATTTTTAGCTCACTATTTTCTTAAAAGACAAAGGCGTCAGATAAAGTCTAAAACGCAATTTGTACAGGCATATAATGATATCATTATCTGGCAGTGTCCACCGAAGTGCGAATATCTGGGAGATAAGTAAGTAGTAGTGGCAGTGAGAGCAGGAAATTAAAAGTTCAAACGTCTAAGCATGAAATCCATTTTATGGCATTATAAGAATACAGATCAAAAGAACACGTCAATTTGAAAGGCTGCCATATTCAGAAAGAGAAATTAATTTTATAAGACGAAAGAATGATATTTGGATTTTCTTCTTACACTATAAAAAAAAGGTTTTGAATATTTGTACCCATAGAAAAAGTTACGTTTTCTATTTTATATGTAGCTCGCAATTGCATCAATTAAAAATTAATATTTTTTATGATATTCGACATTTATAAAATCCAATTTTAAATATTCAGGTAACAAATATCGCCTATTTCAATGATCAATCATAAGAGCCGAAGGAAACGAGGCTGTTCGGTTGCTAAGTAAATAACCGTTTGTCAGAGATTGATATTTAATATTACTCCAAGCGGTGTTTTTCCACCCAAAAATCAATGTTTAAACTGCTCTTTAATTAAAAGGGATTCTTTTCGTAAGTTTGTTGCAGCATTTCTAGAATAAAATTATTACTTTTACTAAAATTTCATTTAAACTGCAACAGTTACATATTTTAATTATTATACATGTTTTCATTTTCTATAGCATTCATACAAAATACATTTTTAATTCTTATACATGTGTATTTTTATTTCCTATGGCATTCTTACAAAAATATTTATTTATAAAATTATTTCGGCCGAAAAAATTTAATTAAAAATAACTCCAATTAAAATTGTACGGCTTAAAAAAAATACTGGAAATTATTTTCTATTTTAACCCTTAGGTAATGCAAAAAATTAGTTTTCCCTTTAAATGTCCAATAATAATGAAAAAGGAACAGTAATTTTGAGCAAATTTTACAAAAGCGTTATCCAACGCTTTCTGATCGATTCAATAAAATAACTGGTAGGGGCGATTGGGAACCTCAATTTAATAAAACTATTATAACTAGGTGTCATTTATCAGATTTTGAAAATTTTAGTATCAATTAAAAGCAAATATAACGTCCATAAGAAAAAAATAAACCTGATGATGGTATAAAATAACTGAAACATCCTGTTTAAAATACAATTGCAGAACTGAAATCTACCTAAAAAGTTACTGAAAAAGTGTTTTTACAGATTTTCAAAATAGCGAACAATAAAAAAGCTACAGCATAATTTAGAAAATACAACTTTTTTGGGTTTTTAAAATATCTCAAAAACAAAAAAAAATAAATTCGCGTACTAAAGGCTTTAAGTTACAATTATATTCATATAAAAATTTTAACATTCAACCGTTTCTCTACAGGGTGTTTCATAATATATGCGCAGGACTTCAGGAATATGAAAAAACGTTTCTATTAACTTACCCTCTAAAATGCACCATTTTCGAGATACAGGGTGTTAAAATTTCTACTTCTACTTCAGTAATGATAAAATCTAAAACTTCTGATGTTATCGAAACTATTTGAAAAAATACTAATAAAATAGAGTGAAACCCATCATTGAAGAATGGAAACTTATTCCAGATTACCAGTTTGGCTTTAGAGAAAATCATTCAACTATAGATCAGGTTCATAGAATCTCATGTGCGATTAAAAAAGCATTAGAAAACAAAGAAGTCTGTTCAGCCATTTTCCTTAGCCATACTCAGAGCTATTGGATTCATATATTTCAGATAGATTCTTTAGAGTAAAACAAGATGAAGCATACTCTGAAATGAAAGAAATTAAAGCAGGAGTACCACAGGGAAGCGTCCTGGGACCCACTTTGTATCTGTTATACACTTGTGACATACCCCAACTAGAACAAGACACAATAGCTACATTTGCAGATGATACTGCCTTCCTAGCGATAGACAAATATCATGAAGAGGCTACAAATAAACTACAAACAATTAATTGGACCAAAAGATGGCGCATTAAATTAACGAAACTAAATTTGTTAATATTAATTTTAGATCTCTTATGCTAACTTGGCAAAATATATCTAGGTATTAACTCAATCCAAGATTATTTTAAACATTTTATATAAGTGATAATTCTGTCAAACTAATTATTACAATATTTTTTAGTTATTGGGATTAAATATACGTAAAAATGAGTTATTCTTGAGTAGAATCATAAATTTTAATCAAACTATATATAAGAAACTAATTTAATTGCGAGTATTAAAACTAAAATGGTAAGTGTCTCAATGGAGGCGAGACCAGGGCATTTGTCTGCCATGCGAGAGGGCCGGGTTCAAATTTGAGCTGAAGACTAATTAAATTAAATCTCTTTTGGTTTATTTTATTTTTTAATTAGTAAAAACCATAAATTATTTTAAAATTAGTTATTTTGTCCTAATAATCTAATATAATATTTTAAATTTGTAGATTTTCGTTAGTCGGACGTACAAAAAATATACTTTATAACTCGAGTGGATTGTCCGTATCCACTCTTTTTGCACAAACTACTATTGTGATAAAATTAATTACGCATGGATTAAGATTGCTTTTATTTGCAGATAATTGTCGTCTGCCAGAACTAAGATGACTGTAATTAATGACTGGGTGACTGGTACCAAATTCGGCGGATGGGTGCAAAGATGCCGGGAGTCGCGCCGCCTCGTTTTGGTCATCGTCGCCATAGCACTTCTTTTGGATAACATGCTACTCACAACAGTCGGTAAGTCATTTTTATTCAATCAAATTACAGGTACACAAAAAAAACAAGCTAACCTAAACCCATAGATACAATAATAATAATAATAATGTATTATTTATTGTTTCGGCCTTTACTTGATGAAAATCCATTTAATTTTGAAAGAGTAAAACCAAATTTGGTAGATTTTCACACTTTTATTTTAAAAATAATTTTTTTTTTTTTTTTTTTTTTTTTTTTTTTTTTTTTTTTTTTTTTTTTTTTTTTAAACAAACACTAACATGACATATGTTTCGAAGTACAACTTCTTTTTCAAATGTGACTATTTACAATTCGGTATCCAATATATATACAAAATAATTTAACAAAACAAAGTACTTAAGAAAACATCAATAACATTACAAAATAAACTAACTATTTAAAGTAAATAAGGGTACTTAGGTAATTATAATATCCATCAAATAACAATAAGATAGCCCATTACCGGGATTATCTCACAGAAAACTGGGAAAGAGGTTTAATAGGGTGAATTATTAATATCTAATTGATCATTTAGTAAGTTATCTGAATTTTTAAATCTATTTATTTCAAGTGTTTCTAAATGGTTTAATTTAAGGCTCTTATTTTCTACATGTAAAATTTCAAAGTTGTCTGTAAAAGAATGATTTTCAGCTAAAATATGATTTGAGTAAGTAGAATTATTTTTGTTTTTTGTATAGCTATTATAATGTTCGGATATTTACTTTAAATAGTTAGTTTATTTTGTAATGTTATTGATGTTTTCTTAAGTACTTTGTTTTGTTAAATTATTTTGTATATATATTGGATACCGAATTGTAAATAGTCACATTTGAAAAAGAAGTTGTACTTCGAAACATATGTCATGTTAGTGTTTGTTTAAAAAAAAAAATTTTATTTTTAAAATAAAAGTGTGAAAATCTACCAAATTTGGTTTTACTCTTTCAAAAATAATAATGTAGTTTACGCAAATTAAATTTGGTCCACCCTGTAATTTATTAAAAAATTTACATTTTTTTTCCCAAAAAAATCTTTTCGACTTTGCATATGTTGATGTTCCTTTTTCTTTTTTGTCGCAATTTCGGCACAAGTGTATCTACGCGAGAATTAAATTTTGAATTCGATGAATTTCTATCATATGCGCCATTTTTACTTCATTTTTTGTTCAAAACCACACGAAAACTAAAAGAAAAACATATTTATAGTCTAGTGACGAAATTTTGACTTTGAAATGAAATATTTTGAGAGATTTTTCTTTTTTATCAGTTCAAAAAGTATACACGTGTATATTGCTAAAATCAGGGACCTCATAGCATGTGGAAAAACAGTGATAAAAAAAATGTTACATCAAATTCCAAGTCTAAGAATTTATTAAAAAAAAAAATGCGAATGACTGTGGCCCATCCTAGGATACAGTCTGTTCGATATACTTACGCGGGTTTCGGATTAAAAATTTTATGAATATTTTCAGGTAAGTACCCGAAAGTTTGACCTGTTCTTTGGGGAAATATTAACTGGTTAAATGAAATGAAAAATAATGTACAACTTTTTAATTAAATAATAATGGAGAATCTTTTGTATAATTGAGAGCAGAATTAAACTTCTTTATTAATGGAGTCTAATGTGGCTATTATAAACCTAATAATAATAATTTTATATTACACTTCACACAGAACATATGGTCTATGTATAATAAGAGGGTTATTTAGCTTAAATAAAATATTTTCTAACATAAAAATTTGTTCTATGTAGAGAATTTCAAGAAAAATAAAAAAAATGAAGTTGCCAACAAAAATGAAAATCAGTCATTATCATCCAAAATATCATAACCGTCATCATCATCACTGCCATCACCATTAATTGTTATTATGATTGGACTTATTTCGTTTATTTTATTTTCACGAGTCCACCAATCTTCTATTAGTTTCTCGCACTTGGATATACAGTTCCGCCACACTTCTGGAGTTGCAATTGAAAGTGCTTTTCGCCAAATTTCCCGAACTGCGTCGTCACTATAACCATTAGGCCCAATATGGTTGTCATAATATTGTTTTGCTATTCCCCATATATATTCGATGGGATTAAACTGGCAATGATACGGTGACAGACGTAAAACTTGATGACAGTAACTTTCAATAATCTGATCCACAATAAAGGTTTTTGATTTTGCATGTATATTTGCCAAGCGTAATAAATCTTATTTTAATATATATTGAGGAAATGGTATATGTTCCTTTGTCAACCATTCTTTAATTTTATCAACAGTCCAATAATTCGTTGGACTTTTGTTTAAGACTTCAGAATGGTAAGGTGCATTGTCTAAAATAATTACGCTGGGCTCACTTAAAGCTGGGAGAAGTTTTTCATGCAACCATTTCTGTATTCATATTATCGTGATAGTCACTGGATTTTCATTTAGATGAAAATATTAAATCAGCACCTATAAAACCCGATTTCCCTCCTGCATGTAAAATTATGTGTCGCTTCCCTTCTCTATCGGTATGTTTGATGGATTTTACGTTATCATCTTGCCATATTCTCTTGGTTGCACCCCTAGAAAATATCCATGTTTCGTCTAAATATATAAAATTCGCCCCTTCTTCTTTAAATTTAGAATATTTTCTTAGAAAGTTAATTCTCTTGTGCACGACAGAATTTCTTTCACAAAGGGCCTTTCTGTTATCCTCCTTTTGAAATTTGAAACCCAAGTTATGTTTCACTTGCCATAGACTTGTTCTGCCAATGTCGTCAAATTTTCTATCTATTAATTCCGAGAGAATTGTATTTAAGGTCACATGTTCCTTGTTGGCCCTCATTCGATAAATGGTATCACGAATTTCAAATTTCTTTCCATCTGGAATATCTTTCGTTTTCAATGATGGGCGAGTTTTGTGGTGATCTTCTTTCGGCAGTTCACTACTGTAATTTTGTAATACTCTTCTTAATTTGGTTTCATTAATTCCTAGAGCATCGCATACGCGTTGTTCTACAGTTATTACCGATTTTAAAGGACCGCCATTTTCTTTTTCATCCGTAAAATACTTATGTACACTACAAATTAGACTATCTACATCTAACACACGTCTAAGCATTTTTAAAATTTCCAATAAATTTACAATATACATACGATGTCAATCAAAGAATCAATTCAACTGCAATATTTGTAACAAATTTAGTACCTACCCTAATGTTATTTTAATTTAAATCTGACCATTAGGGCAATTTTACCTAATTTCTTGGGAAGAGGCTTATCGGAACTGGTTGTCAATGACTAATTTGCATAATTTTGTTAATCCGAAACCCGCGTAAGTATAGCGAACAGACTGTACCTTAGTATTACATTCGTGCAGACGAAAAAATGTTCTTGTCCTAACTTTTTAAGGCTTTATTCCACATTTCCGAAAATAAAAAAAATAAATTCAGTCCATACTTTTGCCGGTCACTGTACGCTATTATTATTAATGATCTAAGCTTCATTTCATTATTTCTAAATTGGGGATTGTCTACATACTATGGTTTAGTTGTTTAACCTTATATCCGTGTATTTACTTAGTTTTAAGCATCCATTCGAGAATTTAGGAATCCAACTAACCAAGACAGGGACTTATGCCCCGAGAAAAGCAAATGTTTAAGCTTGTTAAAGATACGGGCAATTAGAAATCGATTGTTACCCGAAGACAGTTTCACTCAATTGTTGCGCGTCTGTGGTCATTATCATTAAGAAAGGATAATTACTCATCTCCCTTTAATCCTGTTCGCTACAATAAGGTCGGTTTCTTATCTTTTCCTGTATACTTCAGTTGGCTTATTCAAATCTTAACAAGGACATTTGGCTGCCTTTATACTTCTACAAGAATGAAGTCACATAGCAATTAACAACTGCTCTATTTATCAGATTCTGATTTTGAAGGCAACCTTTTACATTTAATTGATTCGGGTCGGGTTAAAGATAACGGGTTTTAGTATTAAAACTAGAACTAATATAATAATTTATTTAAGATGGTAGCTAAGTCTTTAAAGTAAAGTTCTGATGTATTAAATTAGAGGCATTGCAACTTTTGTTCAAGTATTAGTTCATTCATAATCAAAATAATAATAAATTTCCGAAATTTATTTTGAGCGCAAGAAAATTGCTGTCTGTTTTACTTATGCTTCCCAAGTTATTGCAGAGCGCCATTTAATCTAAAAATAATTAAAATACCTAGGAATTTATCTTGATAATCATCTAAATCACAGGTTTCCAATACCGTCACAAGTGGGCGCTGGAGCTTTCTATGAGAGCCTTAGAATATAAAGTAGTAAGGAAGGATGAATTATCCAAACTGTCAATAAAAAAAAGAAGAAATATGAATATTACCGAAGCCCATTTTAGAATTTTTTTTTGTGGATGATTCTACATTTACTTTGTTGGGAATTAAAGTATGATTGGACTAATTAAGTTAGTTAATTCCCCTGAGATCTGTTAGGCCAAAAATTGCAAATCTTTTATAAAATAATAGGTCTGCCTACCTGCAGAAATGTCTTAAATAGAGCAGAAGAAACCATTGTTGCGGCCTAAATAGATTGAGATATTTACCACTAGGCGAAGAAAAGCTAACAGGCATTATAATTAATTTCATGCTAGAGAAATTGTCAAAGTTATTAGGTAACTCTAGTGAAAAAATAAAAAGTCAAAGCTAGACAATGTGTTATAAACAGCTGAGTTCCACATTAGATCTGGAAATCTAATTTAATAAATTATTTAAATAAGTAGGTTTTATTATACAGTTTGTCTACGTAAGTTGACTACATACAACAACAAAAAAACATTAGTTTTAACAAAAAATGTATTCATCATAAAAAATTTGCATGATCTAAGACCAAAAATACAATCATCGGATAATAAATTTTATGAGTCATATACGAGATTTGTAAAGCTGGGCTAGAAATAACATATAAAAAGTTAATAGATTTGCAGAGCATTTACAAAATACCTTCCAATCAAATGAAGGAGGAGAAGAACTGGT